TTTGCTATTTTTCTCTTCTTTTAAATACCCCTACCATTTCAAATGTCTTTCAATATTAATGGATGAGAAGACGCGTTATCATTCGGTTAGTAGCTAGACTAGACACTTGTTTTTTATCAATATAGTTCCTAAATAATAAACGTCGAGTCTCCAAGCTTTAACGACTCTACAATAAGAAGTAATCGCCAACATCTGAATGGTAAACTGCTCAATTATATTTCCGTCTTATGATACATCTCGTGTCCGAAATTACGGAGATAAATGTTAAATTGAGTGTACGACTCCAACGATTATCATCCCTTTTAAAATACATGGGAGATAAAGGAAAGAGGTATGCAAACGTTTTTTATTTGAAACTCATTCTCTAGAATCTTGTACTGTTAAGAACTTCTAAGTGCTAACTTGTTTTGTACGATCCTCGATCATCTTTGAGTTTTCTCGGAGATATTAACTTTGACTTATAATTTTTGGTAAAAATAACTATCACTTACTTTTCATAAAACAACTTAGCAAACATAGCTTAGGTGTCTTATCTATGAAATCATATTCGAATTGGTAGTCTAGACTGTACCTTTCGTATGACATGATATTTAATGTTTTTATCTAGGGGTAGTGTTATGTCTTTGTTTTCTGTGTGTTTTTTTAATACATCAATATGTAGAATGTGAGTTCGAACTTCTAATCTCTTAATCAAATATTGATATTTTAACTAGTTAAGCTACACATACATTCACGATAGTGTTTTGTTATTTAATCTTGGTATGCTCTGCAACATATGTCTCGATTAATCTAATAAATGCTTGGTTTCATGAAAAAACCCTAATTTAACTCAGGGTCGATAAATTTTTTCTCAATATATGTTCATATTAATAAAACTTATTCTATCAAACAAAATAAATGAATAAAAGAACATTAAATATTTTTATAAACGCAATTATTGTAAATAGTAAATAATGAGATACAGTAATTTTTTCTGCATTTTAACTTGTATTATTTAACCATTAATTAAAAAATTAAGAGTTATTTCAAAAAAAAAAATCAAGAGAATAGCGAGTAATTATTTTCTATGCTAGACATGGTTCAACAGACTATATATATGACTAGAAGATGATGAGTATTTTTATTATACATATTTTAATGGAAATACAGCGACTCCCACTAAAATCGCACCCAATATGCGAATTTTTACTTTGACCAACATTTAATCTATTTTTTATGCATAATTTAATTTTATAATTTTTTATTTAAATTACATTTATTTTATGATATTTTCCAAATAATTTGTTTTTTAAGTTATCCTTCAACTTAACCCAAATTTGAATGGAAAATATAAGATTTTAATTAATACGTTTTGATTAGCTTTAAACATAATTTTTTAAGAAAAAGGAGATTTTATTTATAAGGAGATTTTATTTATTTATTATTTTGGATTTTGAAATTTGAAATGATAGGACTATCTTGACCTTGTTTAGTTGTAAATTTTTATTTATTTGAAAATTATAAATATCTAACTTATAAAACTAGTTACACGTTTTTTAGTTTCAAAATAGTATTTGAATTCTATTCAATTTTGTAAAGATAATATATATATATATATATATATATATATTCCATAATTTGTCTTTTTCTTTTTAAATTCCGCATGTAAGAAGACTCAGATTTGTCAGATGATCTAAACTTTTTTTTTCGTTTCTTTGAATTTCAAAATCTAACTTAAGATTTGTCAGGTTTTTTAATAATTTTTTTGTTTGATTTAAATTGAAATTATCAAATTATAAAACTATCTACAATTATTTTTAAATATTATTTAATTTGTATTCTTACTGAAATTTGGAAAAAGTACGGATTGGTTTTGGTTAAGAATACGTCTATTGTGATAAAATGGGGAGTGATTTAAATATATATATATATATATATATTTTATGAGGATTTAAATAGAGTTAGGGTAGGGTTCTTTTCCTTTTCTAATCAAAATCTTAATCGTATTAGTTTTCAAGATTCAAAATTCGTTGGCGCGCAGATAGAGTTGAGTTTAAACCTACGTTAATCACTTTAGTTTATTACTTTGTTTCCAAATATATTTTTTTTAGAATTCTTTTCTCTCAAATAAATATGTTTGGTCTATAAATTTAGAATATCATTTTTAACTCTCGTATATAATATTGAATTCGCTCAATTTTAGAAATCATTTTTAATATGAATATAAAGATGAATATTACACGATAATGAGATGAATTCGCTTGATTTTAGAAATCATTTTTAGTATGAATATAAAATGGACCACCTCATTCAAGTTTTCATCTATAGTTGAATTTCCTAACATTTGTTTGCCATCCAAAACAATGTCATCTTTTACTTTCTGTTTTTTCTTTTATTTTCATTTTGCATATTGACACTTTTTTTTTTATTAATTTCCTACGTACCATTGTTATTGCATGTAATTACTTCAGAATAACATTAGTGTATACAATACAATTGGTTGATTACTTTGTTTATTAAATAGATTTCTGATCCCTTGATCTAATTGTTGTAAATTTTTTTTATTTTATTTTAAATCTATATATTGCTATTACATATATGTGATATTTTTTATATAAATTGGACAATTATCTTTTTACTTATATTTTTTTTTGTTTGATGTGTATGCATGTAGATATGAAATAGCTAAAATACTAATAAATAAATACTATTTTATAGGAAAAATAAATAAATAAAACTACCTACACAAATATATAAATATTTTCCTTTCCAAACAAAATATGTAAATATTTTAAATGAAAATCGCGTACATTGTACCCGACTTCTATAAATGAAACTTCCACTAAAATAGCGTACAATATATGTTATTTCTCTTGCTAACTTATCCCCAATATTCACCTCATCTATGAGGTGTTGGCCCATAAATTGCATACATAATTAGCCTCTAATCTATTTTTGTCAATAGTTTGGATGTTTATCTTAATTTTGTAATTTTGTTATTTAAATTACATTTATTTTGCTATTATTTTTAAATCTACATTGTTTTTGTAATTTGACTTTTAAATTACATTATTCTTAAACTTAGCGTTAATAGAAGGAGCAAAATGTTAGAAATAAAATATTTTCCATAGAGAAGAAACAAAAATTATATAGATTGAAATGTTTGAGCGACTAAATTTAAATAGAGAAGTTTTAGAAAAAAAAAGATAAATTTTAGAATAGGCTGATCCATTGAAAATTTGATAATTCATTATTATCAGTTTTTATATTTATCGATCTTATTTGTCAAAAAAATAATAGCGATCATGAGATAGGTGCTAACAGTCGACACTTAAATATTACTCCTTAGAACATAACATGTGTGTCTAAAGTTTCAACCAAAATGTTTTGACTCAAATCTCAAATCATTCCACACTGTCTTTTTTACCCATTGCAACTTTTTTCTTCATTAAAAAATTTCACGATGTTGGATCATATAATCAAAAGTGATTTTGAAAATTACAAAAAAAATTGCTTTTAAGAAAAATACTTAAGTAGTATTGTTTCTTTCAAATATAAAACATTTTTATTTAAGTCATTCTATACTAGAGTATAGGTAGAGGTTCGTCAAGGTTTGAATCCCCAATCTCACATGTTATTGAAATAAAGAAAAACATCGATCAGTGTTGCAAGACATTTTTACCTCTCAAATAAAGGTCCTAAGCTAAGAATTTTACAAGCAGAGACATGAGTTATGGGAGATTTATTTAATAGTCAACCTAACACATTAATTTGCTTGGACTTAATTTTGTGCATTGTTATTTAATTAAAATATTGGAAGGGCAGATTTTGAGATAGTCATTGGTAATGTGACGAAGAAATTTTGTTGGTCGCCGAAAAAGCCATGCATTTCAGTGGATAACGTTGAACTTGCGTGAGCAATGACTTTCCAAAATGGCGTGGATATATTAAATAAGAAGATAATATATAGATATCGAGTTGTAATTATATATTTTATTTGATATATGTGGGTGGAGATTCAAACTTATAACCAATTAGTTGAAGATATGTGTTGATTACGACTTGCAAGTAATTTTTTATTTTCACCCTTTCTCGGAGACCAATCACTTTTTTTTATTAAATTATTGTATACTTTAGTTATTTATTTTTCATTTATACTAATCGTTTTTTTCTAATAAAATTTTGTACTATTTTTATTAGTTAATGTAATTTTATTATAAAATATTGTAAATTTAAATTTAAATTTAAATTTAAATTTTACTTTATTGTTATTGATTAATATCAATTGGTTTTCTAAAATAGAATTCATTATTAAATATTATAATAATAAAATTTATTATTAAATGTTGATGATTCTAATTTTGTAATTTTGTTTTAATTATTAATATTAAATAAATTATTATAATAACAAATATTTACTATTAATAATAATAGTAATAAAATAAATAAAATTATTGTAATTAAAAAAATTAGCAAAGAAATGGATATACGATTAATCGTCATAAAATCGATTCCTATTCTAAATAGTTATAGTAAACAACATTAAAAGAATTATAATTTCGATTTAAGAAAATTTTTGATAAATAACATCGAAAAATAACATTTTCATTCCGATTCATCCCATTCCAATTTTTGATATATATGGTGGGCCTACTCATCAAAGAAGTTAAAAAGGTGGAAATGAAATATTATTTAAGCAAAAAAGGGAAAACAATATAAAAGTGGCGAAAGAAAAGAAGTGACATTGTTATTATTGGGACCCACAGAAACGGCAACATTAAATAACGCCTCTTCCTTCCCACCAAAACTATCATCTCGTTCTCTTACCTAATACCCCCCAACTCACATCTTCGCATTATCATTAAATTAACCATATAAAATTTAAAAGAAAAAAAAACCCAAAGGTAACAAATAATTTAATTAAAATAACTCATGTAATTTTCTGTCAGAAAATAAAAATAAAAAGTTAAAATGCTCCATGTAATTTGAAAATTGTAATCATTTAATTTTTATTATGATTTTTTTTTATCAAAGTATAGATATTTATTATATAATACATTTCGTAATTTATAAATACGTTTAGTCTTTTATTATTTATTAATTTAGGTATATAAAAATTTCGTTGAACCTTAGTAAAATTATTACAAATTTAAAAATACATAACTAAATCCTTACTCATCAAAGTTTAGATTGGAGTGAGTTTACTTTTAATCAAAATTGTACTTAAAAAAATTAAAATTTTTTAATAAGTTTATTATTAATTGTTAAATATTTTAATTTTAATTTTTCCTTTTTTTCCTGAGATTCTTTGTCAACGCTGGCCTTGACGCTTCCTGTTACGGCCCCCATCTTCCATCTGCCGTTCATTTTCACTGCTTCGCCGCTTCCTCTTTGATTCTCTCTGCTCTCTTGGGGACTCGCTCTCAGCTACAGGCACTAACTCTCTCTCTCTTTCTCTCTCTTCTGCTCGCCGGCCGGCCGTCGGGAGTGTGGAAGCTCTGTTCCTACTTCGCCAGTGTGTGGTGTTTCGATTCTGGAGTTATGGTGAGGAAACATGGATGGCAACTCCCTGCTCATACTTTTCAGGTACTAATGCGATCGTTCTCCAGTTTGTTTCTTCTTGCTTGCTGTCGGGTTTTTCCTTAGACTGTTTTAGGGTTTTGTTCTGCCAATGTGCGTTTGGGGAATGGCTAAGTTGCGGCGGTTGAATTTGATTTTCTTGTGTTGTTTGGTCGTTGCAGATTGCCTGAAACTTAATTCCCAGTCTCTCCTGAG